CCTGGGAGCTCGGGAAGGCCTGAGGGGTCCTGTCGCCCTGCCAGGCTGTGTTTTTGTGAGCTGGTGGTGGAGGGTGGGGGGAGCCGACATGGGATATAAGCAGTGAGGGGACTTTAGAGAGAATGACATTTTTTTAAATACAAGATGAAAACGGCTTTATAAAGCCATTATCTATTGTAGAAAAACAAATTAGATCCTCTAGAAAGCTGTAAAGAAGAGAGTAGAAATCACCCCAAATCTCAGCACCCAGAAATAACAGTCACGGGGAAAGTTTTGACGAAGCTCGTTCTGAACACCGGCATCTGAACACAACATCCGTCCCTTCGTGCAGCTGGCCTGTTCTGCTCCAGGCTCTGCGACTCTGCGCTTCATAATAGATTCTCAGTGGTCCTTTCTGCCAATGGACTTAGACGTGGAACAGCACTTTAAGTTGGATGGAATTCCTGGTCAGGAGGGACCCAAATCACAAGTTGGGTCCTCTGTTGAAAGCACACTTGGGCTGTTCCAGCTGTTCAACATCATTGACACCTCTGCAAAGAGTGTCTGCCCTTGCACAGAGCCCTGGCAGTGGGGGAGGTCAGAGTCGGTCCACACACCGCCTGCTTGGTTCCAGGAGGCCCCACTGAGTGGGCTCGGGCTTGGGGGCAGCTGCTGGAGGGCAGCCCACATAGCTAGGCAAATGTGTAATGGAGCCTGAGTCAACATACGACAGAGCCACAGATCACCAACGTCAGAGAAGACCCCTGACATAAAAGACGCAGACATCCGAATGAGGAAGGAGCTGGGAGCATAGTCAGAGAGAGACTCCCTCGCCCAAGAGAAAGAGAGAAACTCAAACACTGAAGAGAAGACCATGCATTCAGAAAATCAGACGCAACGCAGTCCCATAGAAAATGAACATTCAGCCCCACTGCCTGCATATTAATAAAAGGACTGTAGACGGCAGAGTAGGAAACATGGGACACACCTCTGAAGAACAAGAGGACAAAGAGACAAGCATGGAGATGGATGGGGAGGCATGGGAATTGGAGGAAGACCCCGGAAGAGCCAACAAGGAACAAAAGCCTTTCTGAAGGAGAGGATGGCAACCGTGGAAGGAGGCGTTTTCAGGAATAACTGCCACCTGTCCCAGAACGAAGACCACAGATAAGAGCCCCAGGACCTCCAGCATCCTGTACGAGGCACAAATACAGAGCCACGAAGGTGCATTTGTGTGCAGTTTTGCAGCACCAGGAATACAGTTTTCAGGGGAAAAGTGGAAACAGGTCACAAACAGGAAGAGGTGTCAGAATGGATTCCTACTTCTTAGTGGCCACTGTCTGTAGCTGGGAGAGAGCGGAGCTCAGGTGGCTCATGCCCGCCCCCTCCTGGAATTCTATACCCAGCCCTGCTATCCACAGGGCACCAGCTATGGACACAAATTCTCTGTTTACTCAGTTTATTGCCCATGCCCCTGAGTCAGGACCCCCTGCATGTTACTCATGTGATGTACACCACCGCACAAAAAAAAAAAATATATATAAAGGAAGACGAAAGACTAGGAAACAGGGTTCGTCATGGGGAACAGACAAGGCGTTCTCCTAGGGTGATGGTGGGGCAGCTTACAGCAGGAGAAAGAACTGTCTGAGACGGGGATTCCCAGAGAGAGAAGCGGGCAAAACAAGCTGTACGTGATGTGACAGAGAATAAGGTCATTGCTTTGTTGAAACGTTCAGGGCAAGAATTAGTAAGGGGAACGCAGAGAACTGAGTGAGCAGATGTGCTGGGGCAAAATTCCAGGAGACTTACGGAAAGTAGCACGTGGGGTGGGGACTGCAGCTGGCCATGGAGAGGAGAAAGATATGACCGAGACGCAGCGATGGTTTCACTAACAAATTGCTTAGTTGCTTGTTAAACCAGATTTAAAAGACTTAATACATTGATGTATTAATATTTGAGCAATGATTAGAGGGCAAGTGTGTGTTTTCTCGATGGGGAGGTGGGGAGGAAGCGGAAACGAGACGGTGAGAGAAGTCAGTGCGCATCTACCATCGTCGGAAGTCAAGAGGCGGTATCGAAAATCTGAAAATCAACAGCGGAATAAACATGCCACCTGGAAATATGGAGAAAAATACCAAACCAGTGGAAACAAACGAAAACAGATGAAAAGTTGAAAGTAGTCGCTCCTGGGGAGTGGGCTCATGGGGAGAGGGGCGGGGGAGAGACTGATCATTTCCAGATAAAGCAGGGGGGGAATGAGTTGGCTTTTTAAATTATGTACTTAACATAATGTTTCCGTGAAATAAAAAACTATAAGCAAGAACCTGCGATTTAGATATTAGTCATGTGGCCTCTGTCTGGAGCAAGCAACACGCTTAAGGGCGGGCCCTGCCCCACGCCCCCACCACCCTGCACTCAGGTCCCAGCCCCCCGCTGGAGGTCGATGCTGGGATTGGTGCGGGACGAGACCTGCCCAGTGAGAAGAGAGGAGGAGGTCATCAGAGCCCTGCCTGGTCCAGGACTGCTGGAGGAAGGCCCGGGCAGTCTAGCCAGATGGGGCAGAGCCAGGGCCTGGGGGCAGGAGGGGCCCGGGCAGTGCTGGTGGGACATCTGAGGCTGGAAGCCCAGAAGGACAGGGTCCGGGACGGCGGCTGGTTTGTTGGATGGACTCTGTCTGGTGTGAGATGCCGCAGGACCGTCTCCCACTCCTGTGAATCCTCCTGGAGTGGGGGTTGGAAAGAAATGGCATGAATTCCTTTTTAAAATGGGATTTTCCAAAAACGCCTTATGGCCCCTGTCCCTGTGGAGAAAGAAACACTGACTCAGGGGCCCTCTGTCCTCTGGTGAGAGGGCAGAGGCCACTTCTTACTTGGGATGCTGAAAGCAGAAGCAGGCACTTCCCCAAACCCCTCAGCCAGCATCTGCTCGGCAAGGCCTGCTGCCCGCCTGGGGCTCACCTGCTGTCCGAGCCCCTGCCAAGGCCCAGGCCCAGTGGGCGTGGCACACAGCACCTCGTTCCATACCCCAGGCCGCACAGAGGAGCACCGCTGTTAACCAATACCCAGAGCGCTTGGAGGCCTGGCTGCCAGAAACCCTTCCGCAGCACAGAGCTACCCCTGGGGGCAGGGACCTGGCAGTCCTGGTGTCCATCTGCCTCCCAGGGGCCCCAGCATCCCCCTGCCTAGCTCCACAAGTCACCATGGAGCATCCTGAGAATGTCCAGCCCTACCCCCCTACCCTGCCCATTCTACGGATGGAAGCCCACAGTCCTGAGAGACAGGGGGCACACTGGGTCTCCCCAGGCTGTGGCCCGCACCTGGACCCTCTCTCCACCCTGCTGGCTGCATGCTCATGTCTTAGGAGGTGTCCTCTGGAGAAGGTGGAACTGTTACCGAGGCTGGGGAGGTGACCCCTGGGGGCGGCCTGGTGGGTCCCCAGCCGGAGTCTGAGAAGGTTTTGGGGTGGCTGGGCAGTGCCCCTGGTGTGTAGGGTGGGTATTGCAGAAACCCGCCTGCACCGGAGCCTGTAGCTCCTGGGACATTTGCCCTGAACAGCCAGAGCTGGGCCCCGAGCTCCCGTCCCCAGGAGCCGCTGAAGACAGGGATTCCGAGACGCCACCGTCCTTATCCCACGCCTCGCCGGAGACGGGGAAGAGCCCCCGCCCCCAGCACACAGCCCTACCCAGATGTGCGATGAGCAGCCCTGGCCAGGCGGCGGCTGTGTGGTGAACACAGCTGGTTCCCTGTGGGCTCAGACGGCACCCACCCCCATCACGAAGGAACATCTGAGGGCCACCTGGCAGGGTCAGAGTTCCAGGTTCAGGGGTGGGGTGGCCGCCTGCGACATCTGGGGTTATTGGCGCTAGCTTTGGTGAGAGCCTGCAGGGCATACCTGCTAAAATGCAGACTCCCAGGCCCCTGCTCCAGCAGTGCTGATCCAGGGGGCCTCGAGTGGGCCCAGGGCTCTGTGTGTTTAATATGATTATGGCCATTATTAGTCAGGGTTCTTCTGAGAAGCAGAACCGAAGCGAGATATCTAGCCAAGAAGAGAGAGGGAGAGAGATCGTAAGGGATTGGTCCGTGGGATGACGGGTCAGAGAAGTCCCACGCTCTGCCGTCTGCAAACTGGAGGCCCGAGCCCTGGTGGTCACATCCCTGTTGGAAGGCAGGAGACCGATGTCCCCGCTGAGAGCCAGGCAGAGACAGCAGACTGCTCGCCCCTCCAGCTTTTGTCCAGTGGGCTGGACGCGCTTTACTCAGCCCACCAGTTCCAACACTGATCTCACCCAGAACACCCCCCACAGACACTCCCAGAAACAAGGGTTCACCAAGTGTCGGGGCACCCAGTGACCCCGTCAAGTTGACCATCACGATGACGCAGGAGGTGGGGTCCCGGGAGGGTAGTAAATCCTCTACGGCACTGTCCATGCTGATCCTTCCCCCGTGACAGTCTTCCTCCTCCTGCATCCAGAAACTTTCCACTTCCACTTCAAACCGAGTTCCAGCATCACCCTCTGGCTGGACCTGGTGCCCCTCCCTGTGACCGGCCTGGGACACCCCACATCCACAGAGGTGGCCTTATGCCGTCTCCACTGCTGCCGCTGCTGTCCCCAGGACACAGGAGGCTCTTGACAAGTCACTGCAGAGCAAGCCTTGCTTCTGGCTCACACGCCCTCCCCAGCGGAATCGGCAGTGCGGCTTGAAACAGCAACAATTCCCTCCCGCTCGGCTCTGGGGCCACAAGTTCGGAATCGGGTGCCCCGGGGAAGCTCTTTCTGCCTCTTCCTGGGTCCCCGGCCGCAATGCTCATCTCTGCCTCTGCGGTCCCGGGGCCTCCCGGTCTAGGTCGGTGCCGCCTCCTCTTGTAAGGACACCTGTCATTGGGATAACTCAGGTGTGGGAGGTCAACCATGGCTGCACCTGCTGGGCCTCCTTCCCAGGTATTCCAAGGTGCGGCCCATTAAAGGCATCTGAAAAGGCGGTCCTACCAGAACACCCAGCACCTACCCCTGAGGGCACAGCTCCTGAACCATGCCCGCCGCGTGGGGTTGAATTAACATGCTTCCCTCTGCGGGGCCCACAGGCAGCCTATTGCCGGCACCTCCCTCTGCCTGTGACCGAGGCCGCCTCGGGCCGTTGGTATGTCCCCAAACCAACATTTGTTGCGCAAATCAAGTAACTGAGAGAGGATGGGGGCAGGACAGGCTTTGTGGGGACTGGGATGGAAGGAAACTGTCCTCTTTTCAGGGAGATGACAGTGAGTGTGGGGGTGCGGGCTGCCTTACAGCTGGGCACGGGAAAAAAGCATCGTCTTCCGAGTGTCCTCATTCATCGCATTTTCCAGAAACAGAAGCTGAGGAGAAGTGACTTCTTCATGGTCACGGCCCAGAAGGAAAGCAGCCAGCCTGGGCTGCGGGGTCCTGCAGAGCTGCTCGGGAGGCCGTCTCCACCATGGTGGGTGAGTGCCCATGTCACAGGTGTGAGCGTGTGCACTGTGTGTCCAAGTGTGTGAACTGTGTGCGTGCATTGTGTGTGCAACTGTGTGCATTGCATGTGCGAGTGTGTGTGTGCACTGTGTATGCGTGTGTCCACTGCGTGTGTGGACATTGTGGGCAAGTGTGTGCATCGCATGTGCAAGCGTGTGTGTACACTGTGTGTGTGCACTGCATGTGTGTGCATTGTGTGCAAGTGTGTGCATTGCATGTGCGAGTGCGTGCACTGCATGTGCGAGTGTGTGCACTATGTGTGCATTGTATGCGTGACTGTGTGCACTGCATGCTTGTGCATTGTGTGTGCGAGTGTGTGTATTGCATGTGCAAGCATGTGTGTGCACTGTGTATGCGTGTGCAGGTAGGACTCTGTCCGGGGGGACTCTGTCGGGGGGAGACGCCCTCATGGAACACGGGAACAGGCCCAGGCAAGGGATCTGCCATCCCAGCCAAATCCTGGCTTTGCCATTTCCCAGCTCACCGTGACAGGCTCCCCAGTCCCCTGAGCTCCAACCTCCTGTGTACAGGAGGGGCAGTGACGTGGTGGCACTGCTATGCGGGCTTGCTGGGCTGCCCGAGGGGGTGCTGTCAGCAGCGTGGCTCGTGGGGAGGCCTGGCTCCTGGACACCTGACTGGGTGTACCCCCGTCTGTCCCCAGACCCAGGAACTACAGCACAGAGATGCCGCCCACTGACCCCAGGAAGGGCAGCCTCCTAGGCGAGAAGGCCCGGCTCACCGGCCTTTCCCGAGACCTCCTCCAGCTTCTATTCTAAAGCCCTCGTGTGACTCGAGAGCCTCGCGCAGCCTCCGTTTCTGATTCGCACTGGCCCAGGCTGCCAGGAGCCCTTCCTCATTCTTTCCAGTTGTTTGTTGGCTTGCTTTTGATCAAAGTCAGGAAACTACTTTAAAAAAAAGAAAAAACAAGGCCAGTGGACTGGAAAACGTGGAGTTCAAGTTTGGGTCAAAATGATCAACTCTGAATTCAACGTAAGCTTATGGCTCCAAGTGAGTCGTTCCAACCTGATCACAGCTGTGTGCGTTCACACTCTGACACACAGAGACACACACACATCCATGCATCACATGTGCACACACTCACATACACACACCCTCCACAGACACAACACACACTCATATGCACACACACAGACACACACATGCACACACAGAGACACACACCCACACATCCACACATCACACACATGCACACACACACCCTCACAGACATGACACAAACACACATGCACACACACGTGCAGAAATACACACAGAAACACACCCACACGCACACAGATACCCTCCACAGACATGACACTCACAAACATACATGCATACACACAGAGACACATGCAGAGACACACACACATCCACACCTCATATGTGCACACATACATCCTCTACAGACATGAAATACACTCATAATATACACATGCCCACACACACAGACACACACATTCACACATCACACACATGCACACACACACCATCCACAGACATGACACACACTCACAAACACACTTGCATAGAGACACAGGCAGCAATACAGACACAGACATCCATGCATCACACACATGCACACACACATCCTCCACAGACATAACACACACTCACAAACACATGCACACACACATCCATGCATCACACACATGGACACACACACCCTCCACAAGACATGACACACACAAATGCACATGCACACACACATGCAGACACACACATACACCCACAGAGACAGACAGCTGGACAGGCCCAGGCCATGCAGGACAGGAGAGCCCAGGGGAGCACTGTGGCTGTCCAAGCCAGGTCCATGCCCGTGGTTTGCTGTGACCCCGGCCTCGACTCTCACGGCTGGGGTATTCTTCCTGCTGTTTGCTGAGCCCGGGGATGCTGGGGCCTGTGCTGGAGTCACACTGTGCACCCTTTGCTGTGCAGCCAGGGAAACTGAGGCAACACTTCAGAGTGAGGCCCACGGCAGCTGCGGCAGCTTTCAATTTGGGTTTGTGAGTGGTGTGGCTAATTTTACGTGTCAACTTGATTGGGCCACGATGTGCCCAGATATTTGGTCCAGCATGACTCTGGCTGCATCTGGGAGGTGCCCCTGGCTGGAATTCACATTCGAATGGGTAAACCGCGTCAAGCGTGGGCAAGCAGACTGGCCTTGTCCCATTAGCTGAAGGCCGAGTGAGGGGAGTTCCTGCTGCCTGACTGCTGAGCTGGTTTCTCGCTGGCCTTCCAGCCTGTCCTGGACCATGAGCCTACCGTCAGCTCTCCCAGGGCTCCGGCTTGCCAGCGGCAGACCTCAGGGCTGGTCCACTCTGGGATCCGGCGAGCCCACTCCTGACAGTCAGTCTCCCACAGTCTCCCGCTATGCATCCGTCCCATCAGTTCCATTTCCAGGGAGCCCTGAATACAGAGAGGGGGCGTGCGGGCTTTGAAGCTGGCTCAGTGGGGCTTGGCACGGTGACCATCGCAGCCGTGATATTCCTGGGACACACAGACACACACACCACACACCACACACCACACCACACCACACACCACACACCACACACAGCTCCGGGCACTTGGCTTGCAGCCCCGAGACACTCATCTGTAGTTTCCAGGGACACGCCCAGGAGTGGAGCAGCTGGAAGTCACGCAGACGGCAAGTGACCGAGCCAGGGTTTGAACCCGGACCTGCACTCCCAACCCCTGTCCCAAGTCCTGTGACCCCCGAGATCGGGCTCCTCCAGCCCTCTGGGCCTGCCCTGCTCTCCCTGCCTCAGTGGCTGTGCTGCTGGGAGGCGGGCAGTGAGGCAGGGACGGTCCTTGGAGCTCTGCTGAGGGCAGGGACTGGGCGGGGGAGACGGGGAAGAGCCGGAGATTGCACAGGATGATGGGATCAAGGTGCAGGTCACGGAGGCCACAGCTGTGAGAGGTCCCGGCTGACGCGCGGTCAGCATTCTCCGCTGAGAAACAGCCAAGAGGACAGGGGTCCATGTTCAGACCCTTCTTTCAGGGCATCGGCTCAGGCGGTTGTGGGGCTGGCCGGCCCTCTGCACTCAGGCTGCCGGCTCAGGCAGGGCTGCAAACCGCGGTCTGCAGGCGGAATTCCTGCTGCCTCCGCGAGGTCTCGGTGTTGAACCCGACAAGGCTGTCCCACACTACGCCGGGCCGTCTCCTTTCCTCAAAGTCAGCTGCCTGCCGATGCGTGCCACGTCGCAAAACACCGGCACGGAAGCCTCTAGACGCGCAATGGGATCACGGGGACCACGGCCCGGCCAGGCTGGCACCTACCACCAACAGCATGGCTGGGAAAGGACCACAGCAAGCCTGGAATTAGGGGCCCCAGATTCCAGCACCAGCTGCCAGGGTTTATGCGACTTGGAGACTGTTGCTCTAGGTGTGGCCTCAGTTTCCTCATCAGTAAAAGGGGGATTCTGTCCCTGGATAAATCACATCCTCCCCTTGCTAGAGAGAGCAGGAGGGAGAAGACCTAGTCCCTACCCTGAATGGAGGGGCGCCTGCCGGGTTTTGATGTTCATATAAGAGTTTGCTACGCACCCCAGGGAACGGATGTGCACCAGATGGCCGGGTCACGGGAGAAGCAGGGGTGCTAGGGGGGTGAGGTCAGGGTGGGCTGGCTCTGTCCTTTTCCCTGCCACGGGCTCTGGTTTGGGGTGAGGAGGAAAAAGCTTGTCCTCCACAAATATGACCCGGTCATTTCCTGGCTCAGCACTGCCCACAGATGGCTTCTGGGCTGTGCTGGTGACGGCACTGGCCTGAGGCCAGCTGGGAGGAGGACCCACAGGGTGAGGACAGGGGGAGACGGGCCCAGCCCTGGTGGCCCCAGGATGACCACAGTGGGGTGCTCGAGTTCTGGGGTGTCCCCAAAAGCAGCAGCCTTGGCGCTGCCAACATAGCCCAAAGCAGGTTTGTAGCAACCTTGTGACATGTCTTACGTCCCCCTCATTTCCCTGCTGAGGACGCCGAAGGCCAATTAATGACGCCCCCTCCAACGGCTTTGAGAGGGAGTGGGCTGGGCACAGCCACACCAGGGACTGCACAAAGTGTCATGCATTCATTCACGGCTGCTCCATTCCTTGAACAAATAGGTCAGAACTCCTGCGGTGGGCCGGGCCCTGTGGCTCTGGGGAAACCCGAACAGCCAGTCCCACAGATCCCTGCCCGCCTGGAGCAGAGCTTGGGCGGGGGAGCAGCCACCTCTGAAAACGCAACGCACGGCTGAGCTGGGGACCGGGGGTCTGTGGGGGTCTCCTTCACAGAGGAGAGAGCCTGGGGGCTCTGTTCCACCCCCTTTCTCACCCAGCAAAGCATGCCCAGACCCAGATGGGCTCAAGGTCAGGAGCATCTCCATGAGGGCCGGCCCTCTCTGCAGGCAGCACAGGCCTACGGGTGGGAGACGGACCCTCGGCTCCACCGCCAAGTGTGTCTATGATGCTCATTTTCTCAGGATTTTTTTTTTTTCCCAAAATGTCAAATTGCTCTGCTGCAGGCCCCTGTTAGATAGAGGTGTGGCGGCTGCGGGAGAAGCTGGGGGTGCTGAGAAGCCAGGGAGCTCACTGAAGACCCCACGGGACCCCTGGGGGATGCAGATCTGGAAGCTTCCAGCTGAGGAGCTGGCACGGGGGTTGGGGAGGCGGCAAGTGTCACAGAGCAGGAGCAGGAACAGGCCAGGGCGGCCTCGTGTAACCCTGGACACATCCCCCCTCCAAGTCAGGCCCCACTCCTGCAAAATCAGGTGGGCGGCCACCAGCAACACGGCCAACCCTCAGCAGGACACCCTCACTCCGGGGTCCCCACTGCCGCTCTGTGTCTGAAGGCCCCGCGCAAAGGTGTTGGAACCTTCTGTGTGCCTCCCCCGACACGCTGAGTTAGAATTCCGGCGGAACGCATTCAGACGTGACCTCCCTCCACGCCTGCTGACAGGAGACCCGGCCTCCTCCCACTGCCCCACCGCGTGTGCTGGACTCGAGGATTCCAGGGCGGAGAGGCTGCGGCCATGGAAACCTGGCAGAGCTCAGATTCCCCGGCACAGGGCAGGGGCAGAGCCGGGAAGGGCCGGCAAGCCCACTGGGCAGGCAGAGACGGTTGTCAGCAGATGCTTCCACTGAGGCAGAAGCTCCCGGTCAGACGCGTCCGGAGTTCAGACCAGCCGCCTTCCTGCCTGTGCTTCCCAGCTCTCTGCCCCCGGGGCAAGCTCTAGGCGGGGCTCCTAGAAGCAGGATGGGTCTGGTCTGCTCCCGGTGGGTGTCCCACGTGCCAGAGGTATGGTTACAGGGCAGCAACGTGAGGCCGCTCAGACCTCCCTCCAGAGACAGCGCGGGCAGAGCCCCCAGCCCCCACGCCCAGCAACTATGCCTACGGGATTTGCTTCGGGCTCTGAGCCGAGGCCACACACCTCCCTGGCAGCTGTGGGCAGTGTCGGAGCAGGCAGGCGAAACAGGGCTCATCCTGTCCAACCCACGCTGGACTCACCTACGGCAGCCTTTACCCTGAAGCAATCCCGGCTGGCCGAGACTTCCCCAGAGTTTTCCCGTCCCCCCGTCCCCCCGTCCCCCCGTCCCCCCGTCCCCCATCCTCCTCATCCTCCCCGTGCCCCCAAGTCCCCTGTCCCCCCATCCTCCTCGTCCTCCTTGTCCCCCCAACCTGCCTGTCCTCCCCTCTCCCTTCCCAGGTGCCAGGCCCACCTTACCATCTGGAAGCGCATGCCCCCTGCCCACCTCACCTGCCCCTTTCACACCAGAGGAGGTGCACCCAGCCCCACAGGTGTGATAACTCCATTGTTTCTCTGGGTAGAAGACCAGGGCTGAGACCTGCGTCCACCAGGACTGAGGTGTGGACCAGCAGGGATGCCAGCAGAGGAAACCGGGCACAGGCTGGGGCTCAGATTCCCCGGGACAGGGCAGGACGGAGGTGTGGACCAGCAGGGATGGCGGCAGAGGAAACCGGGCACAGGCTGGGGCTTTGGGCTCGGTCCATCCCCAGGATCCCAAGGGAGTGTGTGTCACCCGGAGTAGCGGCCGTGGATGTGTGGCCCTGCCATCCTCAGATGCCGGCTCTGCCACGTGGCCTGGATGCTGTGGCTGGTG